ACAAAACCGGGCGATAGGGGCCTATTTCTGATCTCACGGCCCTGGGAAGAGCTCTCCTGCGGCTCGAGGAATTAACCCCGTGTAAATGGGTTCAGGATCTGCCTCCTGACGGGGATTTTACTTGGCAGTAGCCTGTAAAGACAAAATATCCGGGGGGGTTGGGGGGGGGTGGGGGGTGGAGAGTGGAGTCGAGTGGGGGAACCTCTGGCAGTCCTATTCCAGCTTCCAGTGCCAGTGTGCACTAGGTAAGAAGATGCTTACAGAACTGTAAGGTCTTCATCAGGACCGGACACAGACCTTTACTAGCGCTACGCCCACCGAAGAGAAGTCCTCTGCGGAGCAGCCCGTGGGGTGCGCGGCGGTGGTGTAGTCCCTTGCACCCGGCCCCGCTCCAGCCCTTCTCTAGGGGGAGAGGGACTCCTTCGAAACATGTGCTCCTAAATTAAAACCTCTTTCCATAAACCAACTGAAAACCCGCCCTTGAGCCCCGTAGAAACACACTGAGGCAGGCTGATCAGCCAGCGCGAGGGGTGCTACTCGCCAGTAAGGAACGGAGAGGGAAGGGTAGAAGGAATGGCCTTGACTCCACCGCCCCCCTCCCCCCTTGTATCAGTTTGTCTTTCATTTTTTCAAAATGATTGAGCTTTTTGAAAAAGGCCCTTTAGAGGGAGAACAAAACCAGCAACAGCCTGCTTCCCCAAAAACAACATGAATATCAACCTGTCCTCTGGCAGGGCTTCAGAGCTCAGAGGCATTGCAATAAAATTTACGGCGTCCTTAACAACTCCCAAGTAAAAGCATTAAAATTCCCTTTAATTGAGAAAACATTGATTTTTAACTCTGGAAAGAAACTAACCCGTAATTTAATTGCAAACTTTCACCGACAGAGCAGCATCTCAGGGAGGCCACATTCCATCTTTAATAGAGCCACTTTATGAAGTGATAAAAACAAAGAAAACATGACAAACAGAGACAGTTGCAACTGCGAACGAAGTCATTTGCCTGCCCTTTCCCTCTTCGCAGCTCCAAACTATAGTCGTCTTCCATCCTCCTTCACACTCCACCCCTGATAACAAAACACAAGTATAAAAGAGAAGGATTTGGGATTCAGGGGAGAAGAGGTTGTTCGTTCTTTAAATAACGATTTACCTTTACCAGGCAAGGGGTAATGGCAAGAGGCTGGAGAGGACAATGTCACAAAATGGTAGCCTCTTTCTTTTTTTCTTCACCCCCCCTCCCCCCTTTTATTTTTCATTTTTTTTCTTCTTTTCTTTCTTTTTATTTTTTTTTTCCTTAAAAAAAGCCCCAAACCTAATCGGATAGAATTTCCTTACTTTCCCTTGGTCGTTGCAAAAATCATCTCTAAAGGGAAGAGAAAGGGAAATCCCACCCTCTCTTTCTATCTTATTTCTGTATCGGTTTTTGGTATTATAGGAGAGTAAAGAAGTTTTTGTTTGGTGGTTTTTCATTGATCAGTCACTCTGAGCTAATGTAATTATCCTCATCAATAGAAGGCTGCAGAGAGAATCATTATGTGGGTGACATTGATAAATGATCACCCAAGAGTTGCCTTTTCTCTCGGGCACCCCCACATATGACCCTCCCACATACACAACGTAGCCATAGAAACACCTTGAGATCCTCAAACACTGCTGCAAATGGGAGAACACTGAGAAAGCGACAGAAATCCAACTTCAAGCACTTTCTACCCCTGCTGCCTCCTCATTCCCTGAGCAAGGAGCCACCGAGCCGGGCTCCGCGCCCCACCGCCCGGCCCCGCGCCCTCTCATGGCACCACAGTCAGTTTGGGGGGATGGGGACCATCCTATGGGGCTTCCTTCCATTTTTCCCCCTCTCTCCTCCTATTTTTCCTTTTCTGGGAGTTGAGCTCTGGGGTTACGCGCACCGCCTGGGTGAACTGCTCCTTACACCCACTGTGGAACCCCCTAGTTGGAAAGTCGCTCATGGAGATGCACATCTACAACATCCACCCCCTCCCCGGGAAAGGCGGCTCTTAGGAAATGGTTAAACCTGAATTATTAACAGCATTTTTTTTTTTTTTCAGTTGCAGGACTACACAAGGCAGTTCTTACTAAGGCAAACGTTAACGAGGTTTTTTTTCTTTCCTTTTTTTTTTTTTTTCCAGCCGCAGACCCCCTTTTATGTAAGCAGATTCTAAAATATTGAGAGCAGTAATTGATTTATAGTGATCCATAAATCGATGAGAGGAAGGGGGCGAGGGTGTTTATTTATTTTATTCCTAAAGCTGCAAGGAAAGTAGCTCTGACACCGTGTGGGGACGAAGGGGAGGAGTTGTTTGGCTGTGAGGGGTCATCCATCATCACTGTCGCAGAGACTCTGCCCAGAAGAGCAACCTCCCTTCTGTCTGTCTCTTTCTTGCTATCAAAACTATTAATATTAAAATCTGTCTTCAAACCTTCCCCCCACACACACACAAACCCGCATTCCCTCCTGTCCCACCCTCCCGACCTCGCCCCGTCCCGCTCCTCCCGGTGGTGCCTGCTTCTCCCTCCCGCACCGCCAGCGGGTTTTGTCTCCCCGAAGCTCTGTCAGCAGGTTCCAAACCCGGCCCCGCGTCTCCTGGACCGAACCCAGGGCCCTGCGGGTCTGAGACCCCCGGTCCCATCGCGCCACTCCTGGGGAAAAGGCTTGGGCATTTCCTGGGCTGAACGGGTTCTCGTCCCAGTGCACGCCGCCGGGGGCAACCGGGCTGCTGCCTCCGAATCGCCCCTCCGAGGCGCCGCCGGGAGATCCTCTCTCCCCTCGGGAAGCCCTGGGAGCCGCTGGCACGATGGGCGAAACCAACCGGCGGCACCGGCTGGGCGAGTGGCTCCGTGTGCTGCCTCCCCCGCAACCCCTTCCCACGCACGGCCCCGACCCCCGGCCCTCGCAAACCTGGTCTGGGGACACTTTTCTCTGCCTGGCTCCCTCTGCGGCTATGAGCGAGGGGAAGCGCCAGGCTCCTGGGCATCTCCTCTTCGGCCCCGCGGTGCCCGCTGGCAGCGGCGCGCAGGGCTCGGGCCGGCGCGCTGGCGGAGGTGCGCTCCCCTCCTCTCTTCGCCTGAAAGGCAGGAAAATCTGGAAGAAAAATCCCTTGTTTGTGGTGGCTACAGCTCCCGGCCCAGACCCGCTCGGAGAAATGGAAATTTGGCATTATAAACACGTGTGTGTGTAAACAAAAGGTGTTTCTTCTGTTACCCCTCTTTTCCCACAGCATAAGCAATTTTTATTCAGACTATTTTCTTTAACACTATTCCGCTGTCAAAACATTATTCCCGTTTTGTTTGCTTTTGACAGCTGAGCAGTTCTTAAAAATACCAAAATCGGAACCTTCCATGCTAAACAGTAAATCTCAGATGGAGAAATCTCTGCATGTTATTGTACCTTGGGTTTCAGCAACACATCTCGTGGAGAGCACAGCCCAAGCGGGGGGGGGGGGGGGGGGGGGGGAAGAAAATAAAAGACAACACAGCAATGCAAATATTCAGTTCATTATAAAAAAAAAACAATACACTACTGTGGATAAATTCTTCCCTGTCCATCTACCAGGACAAGGACGTTTTCTGACATTTCTCCTCAAATTGTAAAGAAAAGATCTGCAAGGAAATAAAGTATTGATTAAAAAAATAGTAAAATAGAAAAGCCTCCTTTTGCAAGTGCCAACACAAACAATCTCGCCTTCGTATTTTCTGCATTGCAAGAATCAGAGAATTTGGAAATGGGAACCTGGGGTGTGCTCCTCTTTTACACAACTGAGGAGTCGCCATGATTTTAACCAGGACAGAGCATCAAAGACAAGCAGGTAATTATCACCTAAATTTCATACGGGTACCTGAAAAAAATGCCAACAAAGCAGGGCCCTATTGCTAAGTCCTTTCACCCATTCTGCTGGCATCCTCCCTTCTGTCGCCAGCATCGTGGGTCCATTTACTCAGCTCAGAAATTAAATATTAACTACAAGGCTGAGCATCTTTACACATTTTAAAGGTAAAAGTTGTCAAAGTTTTTAGTAACACTCTGGCCAGTTGGAATGATGAGGAGGAGCAAGGAGGAGAAGGGTTACACATTGAGGGATGGTGAAGTCAGTAACGTGTGTTTCCTAGAAAGTTAAAGCAATTAGGAGCCCTGTCCCCCTCCTCTCCTCCCAGAGATAAAGCTACAGCTTTCTCAGCTCTCCGGGTCCCATCCTGCTCCCCTGACAGAGCAGTGCCACTGAGGGCAGCAAAAAGTGGCTATTTCTAGCCATGCAGATGTTTTCCTAGCACAAACACTCCTTTAGTTGCTTCAAAATGCCATAAGCTTTTGCTTAAGTAAAATCAAACTCTCATGATGAATCTTCAAGAGCCATTTATATATAAAATATCAAATTAACATTTTCCCTTATTAGTTGGTGCTCCTTTTTTTTTTCTCTCTCTCTATTTTTCTCCTTCTGAAAACAACTGAAGAGAAAAAAACCAATACATCCATCTCAAAAGCTAGATTACACAATTCTCACACAGGTAAAGCTCTCATAAAACTCAAAGCTGCTTTTCTCCTCCTAAAACTTTTGAACCTACTCTTGCATTGCAACCATTCTTCACCTCTGAGCTAAACAGCTGGAGATATGCTCTGCAGTGGTTAAGGGGGCACGTACACATACACTTAACACCCACTGGCCTACTGGTCTGCTATCTGGGCCTTCACAACTCAGTCAGCCTTTATGTTATTAGCAGGTAGTACAGATATTAGAGATCTCTTTGAAACACAAGCTGGTGAGAGAATATTGTAAATTTTGTTTAGTCTGGCATAAATATCAATAATCAGCAGAAATAGATAACCTCAGACGTTCTTTCATTCAATTATTCTGTGAGTTCTGATGACAAGCTTGTTTCTGATTTTTCCAACCTTTCTTCTCCGTGCTGATAAGAAATTTGTTTGAGACGTCCCTTCCAATAACTTCGGTCTTTCCTAAGCATGATTAAAAACACAAAAGCTTAACAAAAAATCAAAAATGAAATATTTATTACCGCATTTTGTGACTTAACACCTTTTTTTTTCTTTTTAAAACATAACGTCACAGTCCTCATACAAGTATTTTAATGTAAATTTTGACAAAGCTTAAAGGTAACAGCATTTTCTTCTAGTGAGGAACACGTGCTGAGAAAGGAAGAATTCATGGACATACAATACCAATTCCACAGCAGATCTGATACTAGCAAAAACATTCTTTTTTTTTTTTTTCAATTGAGGTAAACACATAGAATATCTAACATGAAACAATTAATAGACCGAACTCTGTACGAAGTTTGTTACAGTATTCTTGCTTTTTTTCCCCAAGCTTTGAGTTTGTGATAAAGTCCTAGGTTTGGTGCAAAGACCTTTAGTAACTTCTTTCATTGAGGAAAGCTGCCCAACTTTTAGTTTAGTTTTGTCCAAAGCCAAGGCTCAGAACTACTGGAAGAAGCTCCTGCTCTGTCTGTTGTGTCTCTTAAATCTTCACCTGCAAGCTCTTTGAAGAAGAGTCCAAAAAAAAAAAAAATAGACTGGGGAGGAATGAGGAGAGACTTAATGAAGCACAAACTATAAAGATCTGTTTGAAACTAAAGGACACATTTTATGAAGGAACAAAACGAGGGAATGGCAAGGTCTTCTTGGAACAGTCTTCTGAGCGATGAGAGACCCAGCAAGACTTTTCGTCTTCATCTCCAGGGTAGTTCTCTTCTCACTGGCCGAAACAGGTCTTTCATGGATAGTGACTTCACTGCTGAACCAAAACAGTCATTCTTTTGGGAACAACACACATAGTGTGGAAAACAAGGATTTTTTTTTCTTCTAAAACTATTTGAGGCAACGTAACGGAGTGATCAACAGAAATGTACAAGTTAACTTAGTTCCTATGTTTATACTACAGTAGTTATAACTCTTGGAGTCTTTTTTTTTTTTTTCCAGAGGATCTGTGTACATGGACATTTTCATTTCAGTGAGCCCATGATTTCACATTTGTGTTCTTGTTTCGTTGGTCCTCTGTTGTTGATGAAAAATGACAAAAAGTAAAAAATAATCACAGCTGTCTGGAATTTCATATTAAGTGTCAACATCTGGTCAAAGTTCAAAAGTCTTAAAATAGTTTGTTTTTGTTTTTTTTTTTTTTTCTTTTGTTTTTTGTTTTTCCCTTGAGTTTCCTTATACTATTGGGCATGAATGTCCATAACCTGTCCACCAGCACTGGGGTCTACAGAATTTAACATTGTGGGGCTCTGTGCTGACATGGTCATTCCAGGGTGGGTAGGGGGTCCTCCGTGCATCATCATGGCTGGGTGATGGGGGTGACTTGGCAAATATGAATGGATTGGGGGTCCATGTCTTAATTGAGTAGGGTGTGGGGTCATCTGGGGAGGAGTGTAACTTGGCTGTGCCATACTCATACCCATAGGACCACCCTGAGATATGTAGTCCCCTGGCATGCCTTGCAAACCTAGACAAAAAAGGAAGGAAAAAAAACCAGGTCAGATTCCTCAACGTTTTCACAATTTACCCATCTAAAATGAACAGGAAAAACAACAGACACTGCAAATCTTCCATCTAAAATTAGCTGCAGATTCTTGCCAATGTTTGCAGACATTCAAATTCTAGTTTGCATTTAATTTGATCATTCAG